CTTCCATTTTCCGCGGTCGGCCACGTCTCCTTCTCCATGTTTTGTCTGCCCCGTCACCACGACGCAGCCTCGGCTATTTTGAGCTACATTTTTAAAGTTTAAGTTACTAATATAATCGATGAAATAACTTAGTTTGGAATGTTGTAGTGGTGCAACTCGACTAACTATGAGTTGATGAGGGTTTAGACTTTCCATTTTGACAATAATCTTGATTAATTTCTGTACGCATACTTTTTAATCTCGATTTGAAGTTGGTAACGGGGAAGAAACGAAAACTGAGGGACAGATTTAAGATCATCATAACTCCAGTGTCGTTTGCGTTTTTCAACCCAACGTTTTTGCTAATACTTCTCTGAAGGGTTCTCCGTGGAAGAGTTAAAACCTATTCAGTCTGTTGGTTCCTAGTTGTCTCAAATATTGTATTATGTGTTTAAAAATGGAGCTCGGGACAGGTGATTTTTTTCTTTCGAACTTGTTGGTGTTGATCCATTTGTTAACGAAAACACCCGTTTGGTGCCATAGTGCAGTGCACAAGTGAGAAAACTGCTAGGAACACGAATTGGAAAGTTTTTTTGAGAATCACTCGTAAATGTTTTTTTTCAAAATCAAAAACTTATGTGAATAAATAAGCATGTACTGCCAACTAATTCTTATGCGTACATCCCGAATAGTTTGCAAACACTCTTGTTTTCCGTGCATAGTTTTTTGTAGAAATGTACACGACTTGTGTACCTCTTGACTTTGAATTATTCTGAACGTTCGATCGGTTATGAGGTAGCCAATAAAAAGCCTCGATAAAAATGATGATGTACCATGGGTTTGATGCCGCTACTATGGAGTTCGTTGAGGAGGTCCGTGTAGTACCGGATCCCGTCTGGGTTGAGGCTGCTCCTGTGGCCAGTTGGTAGAAGTCGAGGCCAAGACAGCGAAAAGCGGTACATTTGGAGCTATGAACACAGGATGCAATTCGTTAGGTAATTGTTGTAACTCGGTAAGTAAAGTTGGCTCCCCGAATTAAAATTTATTTCCTCAAAAAATTCAAAGCTGAATTTTGTTAAAAGAACTGCAAGTTTAGACGTCACAACTAAACTTTTATTACTGGAATTTAACTTTACGTTCAAAAGACAAGCAATTTACAGTGCAAGTAATAAATCGGAATACGTACAATTTTCGCCCTTTTTATGGAACAGGTCCTGCTCGCCACGTGTAATTGAAGTGATATCCTTATCAGTGATAAACCTATTCACCCTTCATTAAATATGTGCAAAACATTTGCCTCGTAAAATGATTGCTCTTTCGTGAAACAAAATAAATTACGTGTGCCATCGAAATACCAAAATTATTTTTCGCTATATTTTACAGTATGGCCGCATTCTATAGATAACTAAAGGCATCCTTTGAATTACCACACCCAGAAAAATTGTTTCTTGATTCAAGAAAATTTTTCTTGTTTTAAGTGACGCTGACACAAGATCAAATTTACTCTTGAATCAAGCTGACATTTTCTTTCGAACAAGACAAAAATCTTATTCCAAATGCAGTATTGCCTTGTTTCAATGGTGAATTTCATCAGTGTCAGCGTCACTTGAAACAAATAAAAATTTACTCGAATCAAGAAACATTTTTTCTGGGTGCATAAACCGTTTAGCCGCGTTTAGCCTTAGTTTTCAATGCTCTACGTTTAAACTACCTTACGCTTTCACTGTTGAACTTTACAACTCTACGAGAGTACAAGCTGATGATAACTGCGTATCATCTGCTAAAAATTCTTACCTTAAGGTCACGTGCCGCCTTAACGTCCTCCTTGTAGCGATGGTAAGAGTCGGCTGCCACGTCACCATTGGGCACCAAAGCAGAGATGACGTCCGAGTGCAACATGTGGTCAAGATTGCTCTCTCCCTTACCTGGGCACACAAGGCAAACCGTCATAGACACAAGACACCTTCTGGAAGGCGGGATTTCTCGACAGACCCCCCACCCCTCTCCCTGAAAATTGAGCCTTGAGCCCAGGCAACTTGGCCCTGTGCTGTGTATAGGCAAAATTCCAGCTTGTTAGCCCCCCCCCCCCCTCTCAGTCCGCCCTTGGGGGCCTCTGACCCGCTGTACTTACCACTCACGTTCCAGGCGCCCTCGCTCTGGTAGGCCGAGGTGCCGGCGCCGACGATGAAGTCCTGCGGCAGCTCGTCCGTGGCGCGGCGCCGCACGGCCACGCCGCCGTGGCCCAGCAGCAGCGCGAGCACCAGAGCGACCCTCATCGCGGGCATGGGCGCGCGCGGGGAGACTGTTAGACGGTCTGTGTCAGGAAAAGAAGTGAGCCACACTAGAGTCGCGTAACAGAGCGTCTCGCGGCCTTGAACAGTCCATACCGAGCTCGAAAAAAAAAACTGCCTTCGAATAAAATTTACTGAATTATTTGGATAACTCCTTGACAGGTGCGGAACTGAGCTTATTTCAGTGACGTTTTGTTTTGATATCACCTGAGTCTTTCGAAATTTGCGAAAAATTCTTTGAATGTACTCAGAAGAGGTGTGTAACAACCGTATCATTCACGCATAAAAGTGCACTCTACTGGATTTGCATCTTTTATTTACACAAATATAAGCTATTATTTTTTTTGCACACATTTCTGCGTTGTTTCGAACACTTTTGCGTGAACTCATACGAAATCATGCTATTTTGCGCTTTCCCTTGTGCGAAACGAGACATACACATGGCAGACAGCTGAAATCGCGAACTGCACTGAAACATAAAGTGTGCACCTGGCGTGCACATGCAAGTGCTCTACACTACGTTGCACACTTTTACGTGTTTGGCTGGATATTTGAAAAACTTTAAAGTGTTCAACAGTAAATTATAACACTCGACATCGACAGTGTCCAAAGCTTTTAAGTGTTCAACTTTACTGCTTAACCCTTAACAGTATCCAAATATCCAGTCAAACGCTTAAAAGCGTACAACATTGTGTTGAGCACTTGCATGTGCATGCCTGTTGCACACTTTATTTCACAGTGTATATCATTAATATACGCGTGATAATGTCTACCAGTACTGCACACAACTCAACTTGAGTACCGCAACGAGCAAGTAATGCGAGCTGGACTCCTTTTATCAATTACTGGATCCAGGTGTTTAGTTCGTGTGGCTCGCTATTTGCGGGGCTCTATAAACTGACGTATAGGCACCGTCGCTGGCATTCAGCTGGCTCCGAAGCAGACGGAAAAGGAGAGAAATGCATTCTTGTCGTCGTACTTTGGGATAACCTGATAAGACGCCAGTTACGGTGAAATGACTGGGCGGATCACAAGTTAATATTTACTTTCATGTTTCCACGCCACTTCAGTATATGTGATAGTAAGAAATAGAGAAAGAAATAGAGAAAGAAAGAAAGAAAGAAAGAAAGAAAGAAAGAAAGAAAGAAAGAAAGAAAGAAAGAAAGCAGCAGAGGACCCCTACTTTCTCACCGCCTTCTCCTAGTCCAGGCAAGCTGCGGTGAGGGCGCACAAAGGCAATTAACTGCGGATAGTGCCGTTTCATCCACGACTGTCCAAGATCACACACTGCGCTATGCTTGCGCTTCCCAATAATAAAGCTCTTTGAATAAATTAATGTGGAACTGATTCTAAACTCACTAGCGTCGTGACAACACACAGGGTGGGTAATCTTATCCGTAAATTGCAGGTAGGCTTGCCTACACATGTTTTGTCTTTTATTTGTACGAAGTTAAGCAGTCAAATTTTCGCACACATTCCTGTGTTGATTTGAACATATTTGTGCATTCACTGAGAACTGATTGGCGTTCGTCTTCTCATAACGCCAAATATTGTCGTCTTTAAACGTCAATCATTTGCGTTCTACATCTGAGAATGCCAAATATTGGCGTCTTTGAACGCCAAGATTTGGCGTTCATCAGAGGACGCCAATATTTTGGCGTCATGAGAAGCCAACCAGTTTAGAGTGAATTCAACCGTAAGAAATTTTCGCACAAATTTGTCCAAAACAGAATGTAATGTTGAAATTTAGCACGAATGTTTGCTAAAAATCATACAAGCACGGCGTATGACCAGAAAAATAAAAGGACAGCGCGTGTCACCCACCGTGAAGTTCAGACAGCCGCAAACATTGTCTTCGGAGGTCACGGAGATGTGCTCTCTTGGAGCTATACGGCAGAACTAACAACTTGGTGCCACTCTGCGAGCCAGGCAGCGTTTCTTAATCTGGGCGCCCGCGGGGGTGCGATGCGGCCACGATCGGGGCGTGTCGGTCTGGCGGTGATGGCGGTGACCGTGATGAGCCAACTGCGCGTCACACGAGCCTCTAGTCTTGCACCTCGTGGAATTTGTAGACGCACGCGGAGAGCTTTACGCCAAATCCATCATACCCCTGTCTCTTTGCGGACACCTTTTTACCCCCCCCCCCCCTTTCTTTCCCCGAGGGGAAAACGAAAAGGATAATAAAGGCGTCGCCTAAATACTTATTCATTCTAAGCGTTTATCGTCATATTCTCACTTTATTCGTCACCTAGAAGCGCAACCAACTTCAAAACGTTTAACGTAACGTGTTTTCACGCAACTTTTCTTGATGGGAAAAAAGTGGGATAATGCACTGATGACTCAATAGTGTGCTCGTATTTATTTTCTCCCCACAAAGAGCATGCTTAACACTATAACAACTACTGTTTAAACAGTATTCACACCCATGCACACGGTTCACCTGTTACAACACTACAATGCACACTGTAGGATTCTCAATGTGAATTTTATATTACCCCATTTGATAACCACCCTCTTTCACTCGCACCCTTCGTGCCTCTGTTGTCCATTTGAAGCAAGCGAAGAGATTTTTGTTTTCGTCAAAAGTCTGACACTCCGACAACCATACGTGTTTCTCTATGTTAGATCGAGGCATTGCCTTGTCAACCATATCGAGGTCTAACGTAAGGTTGGGACTAGTGTACGAACCCTAAAACACACATTTAATCGTGAGACATTGTAAATGTTAAAAGCAGTACACAATCATTTACATTTCGAGACGACCGTTCCTTCTCAACTCACCATTTGGAACGGACACTTAATAGGAGGGTGAATTCTCTCCACCATGTAGCTCCAAGCCATATGTTTCGTCATCATCAAGTCACAAATACCAGTAGACCAAGTCCAGGTATTTACATGTTCACATTGTGAGGCGCCACCTGTGCATCGTTGCAATGAAAATTTAATCTGAGTAAAAGGGGATAAAAAAGAAACCAAATTTTAAAACCTTTATAAGTACGCGTCCTATAAATAGTAGTCTTCGGGCTTGGTCACGGTCACAATGCACTCTCAGTGCACTGAGACCAATAAAAAGTTTCTAAACAGCAGGGATATTGACAAAGGGGTTTTTAAAAAATCAGAGAATGAGTGCGTGATAAAATAACATCGTGAGGAATGATTTTCTTGTCGATATCGATACAATGTCGTTTTATCGCCACTTGTCGTTTAACGTGCCGCCTTTCCTACAGTAAAGCATACCTCTAACGAAAGGTGGCATCAAAACGATATCGCAGATCGATTTCAACAAGTAAAAACATAGTAATCCTCATTGTAAAGAACGATTCTGTTTTAGTTTCATTTTTTCAAATTACCGATGAAAGCAACTTTGCTGTTCCATTTAGGTTGAAAAGCACATCTAAAACATCCCCGCCAAACCGGTCCATGGTCGTGGAGACGTTACGGATGTGGAAAAAGTGATGCCTGTCTGTGCAATGTGCCATGTTGTACAGTTTAGGGATGAGTCTTGAGCGGTAGACCCTTTGAGAAGGCCTCGGCTTCGGCTGAGCTCAAAAACATGTCCAATTTGAAATGTGTTACTGTACCACAAAAAGCATCAGGGAATCAATATACTTTGGATTTACTCACCAATCGTGCGTTGACAGGGCCGGTCATTCCAACCACCAGAGCGTAGGATAACGCTATGATGGTCCAGGTGGCCCATCCTGCCGTAGCGTGGCATGTCCGAGCCATGCGAAATGCCAAATAAACTGTATCGTACGTCACGTCAGAGCGAAACGGAACACAACGAAAGAGGCTTTGTTCGGCCAAATAACGCCAATCAGTTTCCGCTCACACGCTATCTCCTTTAAATTCGGCGTTTATTTTCCTAGATTACCTCTTTACGTAATATTAGGTAAAAGCCTACCAGAAATCAAATGAGAAACCCAAAATATGGAGAAATAGCGTGCACGCCAATAGTATTTCCCTTTACTTTCCTCTGAAAACTTCTATTTACACTGATAAATAAAGTGTTTAATTGGAGTGCAGATGCAAGTACTCAACACTATGTTGCGCGCTGTGTTGCACACTTTTAAGTGATTGAATGGATATTTGAATGCGATAAAGTGTTTTACAGTAAAGTTGAACACTTAGAAGTATTCAACACCAGGGGTGGTCATGAACCTTCGGACACTTTTAAGAGTTGAAATTTGCTGTTGAACACTTGAAGTGTGCAACATTGTGTTGAGCACTTGCATGTGCACGCCAGTTGAGCACTTAATTTATCAGTGTATCAACTAATCATGATTTCTTTCTTTGTGTTAGGGCATACGAACGGGGATAAGAGATTACATTGAGCCATCGACAGATTGGGAGCTATAACGCATTCAACTTCTTTACAGATATTCAGTAAATTCCTTTATTTATAACATTAAAGTATCGTTAAGTGGGCTGAAAAAGATTATTTAAAAAAAAATAGGTAGCAATTTAACGGTGAGCAATTAATTGCTGTCTCTGTACGCATCCCGACAGCATGAACACAACTATCCGAACTATCAGTTCGCGGGTAGTCTTACAGGGGTGCGTCGCATTTCCCCTGTCCAATCTAAAATTTTGAGACGGCCCCTAATTACAGGGCTTATGGCTTTACGAGATCACGCGAGCACGCTGGCCGCCCAGTGAGCGTTTACAGCCCAAGCGCACGGGAGAGCCGAGGGGGACCTCGCTTACAGTAAATAAGGGCACAAACTAGGTTTGTATCCTCTATTCGCAGGGATTTAAGCAATCAATTTTTGTGTGTACATTTGCATAAAAACGTACAAATACATCCAGCGTTAACTGGAGTATCCTGTTCATACTCAATATGGCCGCAGGGGCCATGGCCCCTTACAGGTGTAAAGAGTAGGCAAACCCGCAACACTGCTGCGTATTCACAGTTACACCGGGCACACGCGAGGCACACACTTCACACTTGGAGTGTGTACTTGCCATCGCACTACGCTATGTTGCGCGTACACACTAAGAAGTGTGTGCCACGCATGACGCATGTACACACTTCCTAGTTTGGGCCATGTCAGACCCACACTCCCTTGTGTGTGCCATACCAGGCACACCACACACTCCCTTGAGTCTGCCTCGGTGTGTGCCATGCCAGGCACACACTTCTTATTTTGTGTGCTTTCAAGTAGACGCAAGGAAGAGTGTACTATGTAGGCAGTTGGGTTTACAGTGTTATCATAACACGAACGAATGGTAGTTACTCAACGTAACAAAACACCTGTCGAATTAAAAGTTAAAGTTATCGATTTTAAAAT